TTTCGGTGATGGCGACTAAGTCATATCTCTCCCGCTGCACAATGGCTTCCAGCTCCTCCTGTTTGCCGCCCATGCTGCGTGCATTGGTGTAGATGCACTTCAATTGGGCTATCGATTTCACCCCCGGCATCGGCACGCCACCCCTAGGCTCATCTCTAGTGAGCCTGGTTTTATCCCCTTCCCCCTTCAAACCTAGTTTAAAGCCCTCCCAATGAGCCCCACCAATTCATGAGCCATGATCCTTTTCCCCCTGTGAGACAGCTGGACTCCATCTGCCGCCAGCAGGCCTGGTGCCGTGTAAACCTCCCCGTGATCAAAAAAGCCAAAATTCCTCCGATGACACCAGCCCCTGAGCCACGTGTTGATCACCTGGACAGCTGTATGCTTGCGTGAGGGCTCCGTCTGAGAGATAATATTCCTCTCTGAAGTGCCAGATCTATCCAAACCCTCTTAGATTTGGTGTAGAAAGCATACAAACGTATTTTCATAAAGGCATTTTGTTCCACGCTTCAGACGCTTTTTATTTAGGTCCAGCTTCTCATACTCTGACTGATCTCATTGATCTTTCACTAAGCAGTGGTTCAGCCCAAAGTCACAGTGTGCCCAGGAGCACTGGCTCCCGGCTCTTTGTGCCAGGAGCTGGGGCAGAGGGTGCCATGGACACCAGGCATCCTTCCTGGGGAAACATTGCCTGGTGTGGCTGAGGGCTACCGGGGTCTACATCTCATCAGAGATGGGCTGCGGCAGACACCAGGATAGCAGAGCTCAGGGACATGCTTGGGTTCCCCCAGCACCCCCAACACCCACAAGCAATGAGTGTTGCTGATCTGATATGTGTCTTGTTGTACCATGTTTGGTAGAATCATCATCAATATTTGGGGGAGGACCTTTCCTGTTGCTTAAATCATGTTCTTCATCATTCTGTAGACATTTTTCTAGAGTTCCCTAAGAATGGAAATTTTTTTGGTGAAAAATGTTTTGTTTTGAATTTCAGTAATTCCCTGTTTTATTTTCTTCATAAGGGGATGTTTTTAAAATAAATATTTGAGATATGTGGATGGTTTATTTGTTTTCTTTCTAGTCTGTTATATACAATATGAATATGGTTGTATACATACATAAAAAGAACCTTTATGTCTATAAAACATAACACAAGATATTATAGTTTGTACTAAAAACTTAAATGACCTTAACATTTCAGTTCAGGAACACTGCTTAAACAGCACACTTCAACATGACTTTCTTTTTTTTTTCCCCACAGTAAAATTTCAGGAAAATATACTAAAACATTTTGAATTCAGACAGAAAAGTATTTGCTCAACAGAAAGTGGTTTAATTAAGGTATCTGGCTAGCTCTGTAGACAACCATATGTGTGCGTGGTTCAAACATGAAGTAACTAAGCAATACATTCTGGGTTTTACTTCCCACTTTATTGTTTGAATCATTACTGGAACAGGTTCTTATCTGTTGTAAATTGCTGTAACTTCTTTGGTTCTCATGCAATAATGCCAATTTATATCAGATGAGAAGAGCTGAGCTGAGCTAGATTCTGCTCATCAAATTACATGCAGCTTGCATTAGTTTAAAATCTATTGCATTCGTACAGTGCTATTGAAACTTTGCATGGTTACCTTTATAAAAAATTTCCAGAAATGTGGGGTGTACAAAAGGCCCCCAAAAACTTGCATACATCTGTTTTAGATAGGAAAAGGCAGAAATGTTTTCAGGATTATGGGAAATCCTTTGTTAGCACGTTAATCTTGTAATGTCAAGAAAAACTTGGGGAATGTGCCTGAAATATCCTTCCAGTTAAGTGTCCCAGTTATTGGCCAGAAAATTTCTGGGTTTTTCCTTGTACCCAGCAAACTGTGTCACCTAGAAACAAATTTTGAGACCTAATGATCCATATTACTATTTACTATTCTCAAGGAGACCTGGAGTTGAAGTTTTTTAAACACTGAATTCAAAATATTTTACTAATCACTGTAATTTCCTGATATGTGCAATTTCCAAGGTACACTATAAATTAGTCAGTGAAAGTATGCAACTGGCAAAGCTTAGTCAAACGATAAAGTCATTTAATGACTGACTGATATCCAGGTAAATAACTGGAGCTAATTCAACATATAATCACAGTATATCTACAAGACCTTACCCATATCATAGATGCTTTTAACACTTAAACTTTTTTACAAAATTTGCTTTCAAGTAGCATGTAACATAAGTGATACAGGGAAACTGAGAATAGTCAAGATCTTTTTTCTGAGGTCTAATTGCACAGTATATTGCATTTTAAATTTAAAATTAAACACATTTTAAAAGATAGTATGTTTAGAAAACTTTAGAACATAGTTTGAGAACAAGAGGCTGGTATATGCAATACGAATAAAAAGTCATAATTTGGGTCTACAGCTGCTGATTGCACTAAAAACAGTTTGAAATAAATGCGACTCGGTTAAATATAAATATTGGTCAGAATGAACCTCAGCTTTCTGGAAGAAGTTGCTTAGTCATACGAAGACTATAAGATACTGAGGACCTGACTTCAGAGGAGGCCCGTGAAGCCCCACTGTTCTGGAGGAAGCTGCCCATACGGCACTACTTGAAGGATAAAACGTGACTCAATACTGTACATCCTCACTCTGCTGTTCTTAGACATGGGGCTCACTCTTTCTCTTCATAAAACCTTTGATGGGTGCCATGCAGCACGAAGTTTCACAATGGGAGAAGCAGCTTACAAAAACAAGCACTTCTAGTCTAAGGACGGCTTGCAAAGCAGTATCCTATCCCTGTGAAAATGAGCAGTATATGGTCTGGTCTCTGTGAGTCAAAGACCACTAGCAGAAAAATCCCTTTATTTTCTCTCTTCATTTGGGAAGAATAACAGTGTAGTTTGCACTGCTCTACATACTCTATAAGCGCAAGGACTGAGTCTCGGCTCTGCAAACGTGTTATGGAGGAGCTCTTGTTCTCTTCTGTCCATAGCAGGAAAATGGAGCTCAGTTTAGTCTGAGAGATAAACACCAATTAGAACAACAAACCCTAACTCTATAAATTATCAGGTGTTTATTTCAAACTCTGAGCCTGCCCAAATGGTCATAAGTGCTGGAAAAGAACAGATCTGAAACCAGATAACACAGCCTAGTGTCTTTCTTGATGTGAGTCTACTCATGACAAACTTTTCTATTCAGCCACTCCCCTAAACTCATCAGGAACTTTCATGTCATTTCCTAACACCTTCTGCGTTATGCAAATTTTATAACATCACATACATATCATCGTTCATTAAAATCTGGAAGCCAGCAAAAGAAGCTATAGTGTTGGATGTTGGCATCAGGCAGGCTATCTGAGCTGCTTTGGAGTCATTGTTTTCAGCTGCTCTTGAAAAACTGAAGATTTTTTCTTGAGAACCCTGTTTGTCACTATTCTTCTCGTCTTCTTGCTGGCTTTCTGCCTCAATGATGCACTCTGGCTCTTCATATTCTGGCTTGGTTTGTACCATTGCGTGAGCAGTTTTGTCTATCCATTCCTAGGAAAATGAAAGTGTTGATGTTGGCAGGGACTGAGAGATCAATTTAAAGAAACCTGGCTGTACAGACACTGATATTCCTTTAGTAATGGCATCTTTCCAGGACAAGCCACAATGGAGAAGATGAAAAGGAAGCAATATAGACAAGCAGGACATAAGACAGCAGGATGGAAGAAAGGCAGGATTGCAGGAAACCAGACAGGATTCCACAAGCGCACACAAACTCCTACTTATTATCGAGACCACATTAAGTACATCTTCGTATTTAATCAGGGCCTTCAGAAAACCTTGGATGTGTGAAATACCTGGTGTTCCCTCCTTGATAGACTCATGCATTCTTTGACCCAAGCCCTGACTTAATCTGAATTGAGACTGAGTTTACATGGATATTTACACAACATAGCATTTCTGTGTTAAAGCTTCAGTATTAATTTACATTTCTATCTTTCTTCTTCAGTTTCAGTTTAAAGCTATCTTATATATAGAAAGTTTTCAGTTTGTCACTGAAATGTTATTACTGCTCTTTGATATTGTCATTGGGTTTGAAAATGTAAATATTTGACCTGTCTCCACTCAGAGGAAACTTAGTAGTAATTGACATAAAGACAGCCCAATTAATACAGAAAAAATACGTCACATATGTGATGTCATGGACTCAAGAAGCAGTAAGAACACAAAAGCAAAACCTGTGATCTATTCATTTGACAGCCATTTCATGTCTAGAGGTTTAGCAACCATACACCTCTGTGGCTAAGAAAGGGTGCTTCCTACTGTGATTGATGCCTCCAAAGGCATGAGTGCCATCACTGGCTCAGTACTAAGTCTCACAGCACTTCACAAACATAAAGGGCAAGATCAGGTTGAAGCAAGCTCCCTGAGCTATTGTGTGCAGGAATGGATGCAACTACCACAATGGCATCTCACTGGATATTGTGCCTCTGGACACCCCTTAATTCTTCTCCAGCAATTTCTCTCTCTCTTTCTACAGCAAGTGTCTTTTCACAGTGCCAAAGTAGCACTACACTGATTGTATGAGCTCTGGTATTTGCTCCGTGGATCCTCGTGGTGATGTTTCATGAGGGGAAGGGCTTTTCTCTTGGGTCAGAGAGAGCTTGTAGTAATGTCTGTGCAAAGCAAGTATCAGTAGCTACTTTCAAATAGCTCAACACTGTAGAGTTCACAGCCTTGCTAGGAAGGGAATGTTTACCTGGAAGTTTCCATTATGATCATTGAAGAGATCAACAAATACGTATTTTGGATCCGGTATAGCAGGCATGACTGATTTTTGAAGCCTGCAAAGAGGAAAGGAAAATACAAATCAACGTTTTGTTATAGTGTAGTCATTCATACAAAATTCTACTTCAGCACAGTTCTGTAGCCACAAATATATTTTACATGACAGTACTCTAGGCTTGATTTCTTTTAAATGTGTTCTAAAGTCAAAAAGCAGTTATAAGAGTATGATAACGCCGTCAGGCTAAGAGTGATTTTTCTCCTGGATTTTCAACCAACCCCATCCTAGTAAAATCTGGACTCTATACAAACTTCCAGCTAGTCAGCAAGTGCCATTCTACTCCATGCAGTAGTCAGAGCTTTATAGTCCCCTAGACAGGGAAGATAGTGCAACAACCAGCTGTACTGGCTGACTTAGTGAACACAAACGTAAACTTGAAACATAGAATTATAGGAGAAAAAACTCAACTTATGATCTAAAAAGGTTATCAGAGTCCCATATACTTTCAGCTCATTTTCTGAAATACTACATTTTTGGCTTTTTTTTTCCCACTGAAAAAGCCAAAATTTGGGGCCTTTGCAGGTTTCATTTGTTGTTTGGTCATTTGGTTTTTTTTAAAGTGTAGATTCTAAATATGAACAGAGTCGTTCAACTGCAAATCCAAATATTGATACAGTCTTATTAAAGCTGAATGCACTCAAGCTTACTTCAGCCTACTGCAAACAGACATTGAGTCTGATGAAAGTTGCACAAAAGAATGTCAGTTCAGAAGAAGTAGCCAAAATACTTGGCTTCTCAGGATTTAACTAGATTTCTAAAAGGAAGAAGAAATTAAGTGGAAGAGACAGAATTTTATCCTGAAACATTGTCTTTTGCCAGAATTGTTCTGTTTCTGAAAATTAAAAGCCTTGATGTTTGGAAGGCCAGGATGCATTATCCCTCAAATAGTAATTAAGCTACTGACTTCTACATCTTCATGATGACTTCATTTATCAGATAAGAATTTTGAGTGCTAAAAGACTTGATCCTAAATGATAGCTCTGTTTTCATGAAATGTTTATTTAATAGTAACCAATAAAATTATACTTACCTCTGCCATTTACACAGAAGAATCAAGAGGATAAGTATCATTAGAAGTACTGCCAGAAAACAACTTAAAAAAATTACTGTGTTTGACTGAGATTTTGTATCATCATCACATGAATCTAGGAATAATCACAAAAAAAGTATGTGAAAAAAACATTTTTTGCTTTAACAGTAAATATTCCTAATCACACTAGAACATTGACTTTTCTTTAAAAAAAACCAAAAGTTTAAGAACAAATAAGACAAATTCAGTTGTTCAATTGAAACTGAAAAGAAAAGCTATCCTTCCCCACACCTTGCAACAAAAGAAAATTGTGCTTTTATTTATCTAAATTGACCTGGTACAGGACAAAAGAGTGGGCTTACAGGCAGAGTAGAGGCGTTATGAATGAATCGAATATTTCTCCTCATCTTCATCACATTACATGGACAGTGATACAGCAACTTTGTGCTAAGATGCGTATTACATACACCTACGTATAATCACCAAAGCTGCAAGTGCAATTTTACATGTAGCCTAAATGTCTTATTTCCCAAGATAAAACAAACAAACAAACAAACAACATCGCCCCCATCCCAGCAAACAAAAAGCCAGCAAACCACAAGTGCCAATACCCAGAAAGTAACTAGTGGCAAGATATCGTCTAGCACACAGATATATAATAATATATACCTTTATATCAGGTATATAAAACTAATGCATTTGTGCACTTTTCGGCATTCTCAGTGTTTTGCCTGCAGCTTTTGTAATGTCACCTCAAAACTCTACCTCCTATTACTGACCTTCTGCTCTCCACATAAATACTATAAATACTAAATGATTATTCATGCAGGAGCAACTGTCCAGCCTGTTCCACCTGCCTGCTTTGTTCAGCTTGCCAGAAAGCCACAAGAAAAGTTGCGATCCCCAAGTAAGCTATGCAGAGTCTATGAAATTTCTTGAGCACAGCTTTGTTCATGGCTTCCTCTGATGTTAGATTTGGAGTCAATAATAACAAGTCATTAAAGTCCTGAAGTGAAGCACTTGCCCCAGTGAAGGGGCTGTGCCAATGTCACTTCTGATCCAGGGGCTCCCAGAGTGACTGAACCATTAGTCTGTCCCCTCTGTGCTTTCCTTCCTTGCAGTTACCTGCCAGCAGCCTCTGGTCAAATGGTCCAGGTAGGGCTGTTTTGTGCTCGCCTCTCAGAGGTGCACAGGGAGACGTTGTCCTCTGTGTTTTCTTGAGGTCATTTGTCAGCCACACCTGAGGACATTGTTGCAGGCTCACAGTCTGCATGGTGGAGGAGGCTTCTCTGGAGGTCAGCACTGTGGCTACTACTAGTGCACAGGCTACACACAACTATGCTCCAGGGTGTCATCCCAGCTTTGTGTATACAGATTTTCTTCAGGTGAGCTGATAGGCCAGTGCATTTTAGAGAACTCACATCTGGGTTCATTGGACATTTGGGTGTCTCATAGTTCTGATAAAGCCTAGTGGGTGGCATTTTATGCTTAGCTGATATGATACGAATGTGTTGGGATGGTGTACGGTCTTTTCTTTACTACAGCAAATCTGTTCTTTGGTTTTGATAACCAGTAGAAATACTGTTTCCATCAAAGATCTAACCACAGTCAATCGCACTTAGTTAAATGTGTCTGTCTGGTGGGAAAGCAGTGCTGATACTGACTTTGCTTCCATTTTATCTCTTTTCCCTCATCCTCCCTGTTTTGATCAATCCAGCACATATGAGCATCAGACTGCTATGACCTCTGGTCCTGTAGTTCAACTGGATGTACTTTGAAAACAAACTGCCTTCAAAAATGGGGCATCAAGGATTTTCTTAGGGTTCAAGTTTCATGTCCATATATCATATGTGGACACACACACATGCGCGCCCCCCCATGCATCACATTGCTGTCATTGATGGACTCTAGACACTATTGTAAGACAAATAATAAGGACACTCTTAACTTTGCTGATTATGGCATAAATTGATAGTGTTATGGGCCATGAGGAACAAAGCAGACAGGAGTTAAACATGGGCAATTAGACATCCACATGAACTTTCTTTGATAACAGAAGATGGAGCACAACAGTGCAACGTTAATTTGCTACATGTTCCCAGCCCCTTTTGCAGTCACCCCTTCCCCATTTGTACTCAGACAATATATGAATGTAGCACAGCCATTACCTAATAATGTGCCATTCATCCAAAATGTTTCTGCTTCCCAGTCACTGCTGTAATTAACTACGTTGCAGTAGGGTACTAGCCTCTTCAGTCTGACCCGGAAAGAATAGCATTTCCTTGTATCAAAGCCTTGCTCTCCAACACTGCAACACTTAGAAGTTCTGGACTAAGAAGGAAGGCGTATCATCGTTAATTCTGGTTTTCAAGACAGTGCTTCAGAATGTTACACTCGGTCACGGTCACAGCTAGGGCAAGTGATAGGCCAACCCAAAACCCCAGAACTGCATTTTAACTTCTCTGAGTTTTGAGGAATTCTGTTTCTTGACTGACTCTTCACTATCCATAGCCATTCCTCATTGTCTGATATTGAGTTGAAGGTCATGACAATCATTACATAGTGCACTATGTTACAGTTGCATATTTACAATATGCAAAGACACTTTGATCCACAAAATATTTACAATCTATTTTTGAGACTGGAAAGGTTTAAGTCAATGAAATAATATTTAGAAATACTTAACAGCTAACTTTAGAATAAATAAAAATCCTGTGTCATCTCTTTTCTTTCATTCTATGTCATGTTTTTTTCTCCCTTTTTCTCTCTTCTTTTAACTCTACTCTGCTTTCTGCTTTTGTCTTCCAAAACTCCTCTATTCTGAATGTATAACCTTTCCCTTAGATTGTACTCAGCTCTTTGGGTGGCAATTAGATAGAACTCAAAAAGTAAATGTTTTCTGGCATGGCAGGGATCCAAGATCCTAAAAATGTAACTGATTTCTGCTACCAGCTATATTTGAAAATACAGGATGGGAGAACAATTTGAAAACAACTCTATTTTACATTCTATGGAGATGCTACTTCCAGCTCCTTCCAATGTTGATTAAAAACGTCATGTCCAACTCACTTGCCAGTCTTTGTCAAACTTGCTTTTGTATTGAAGCTCAAGTCTCAAGCACTTCACAGCTCTCTCTGGTTTATTACAGCTTACAGTAACGGTGTCCTCTTTCCAGAAGAAGGTCACATTTTCTGGTCTATTGGGCTTTACTAAGAGGAAGAGAAACAAATTATGCTATAGTGTCTTAAAAAGAAGTAATTGGCAGTTAAAATTATTGTTATTCCTTCCTTGTCTCAATGTTTCTCTGAGTAGTAAGTGAAGAAGGTGGACTTTCTTCTTGGAGAATGCACTTTTGTAGCTGAGCTCCCTATTAAACATCAAAATGGAGCTTGACACCATGACACTGCTCAGCATTCAAGGTGCCACATTCAAAGGTAGATACTAATTCATGTCAGGAACTTATTGCAAGTACTTAAGGAAGGACTCCAGTCTCCTCATACTCCCTGCAATTAAGAGAAAGAAAGAGGCTCCTTTATTGGAAAGGGACTGAAAAATTCAGTACCATAAAACCTACAAGAGACACTTGTGCAGCTGCTGGAGGCTATGTGGGATATGGTGGTGCATCTGCAAAAAGCACTGGATGTCTACCTGTGCACAACTGAATGTTTTCAGATGGTCCGAAGAGCGTGCAATGGTTTGATCTACGTAGCTGGTTAGTCTTCAGTAGTGGGAAATAAAGGAGTGAGAAGAGTGTTACCTGCTTTCGCAATCCTTCTAGTTGCCTTTTTGTATAATGAAAATTCTGCCTGCTTAATTTAAAGACTTAAGTCTGATCCTTGATATCTGTGCTTTGTTACCTAACCCTTTTGAAATTCATTTTACTATCAGTGGGTGTTTAATAACCAAAATTCGAGGATCAGGTTGCAGCTTTCCATAATATACCAGATATTGGTAAAATTATGACATATAAAAGTATTCTCAAAGTTAGATGCCCTGACAGGTTTTTGTTTAATGCCTTTTGCTAAAACATTATTAATAAATGCTGATAATGTATTTGGAATATATATTTTTTTTTCAGATAATTCTGCATTGTATATTTTCTGTGTGATTTTTATCAGAAAAAATCCCTCCACTTTAAATGATGTAACTATGTGCAATTCCAGAAGATTTTGATAAATTAATCTCACACTAGATGTAAAATATGTATTTGGGAGCAAGAAGGATTTAATAAAAACAGGAACATCGTCTCTCTAGTAGTAGGAGGATGTCTCTTTTACGCTGTCAGACTGTACCAGAGCCACTCAACAAATTTCTACTGACATCTGATGATGGTTTTATGACAGCCTCTTTGATGAGAAGTAGTTTGCTGCCTCGCATCCCATGGAAGATGGCAAAAGAACGGAAGGTTGAAAATACAAGAAAGATCACACAGCCAGCACTAAGACAAGAAACTATCAACTTTTATTCATTTTCCTGATATGAATACTGAGCAGGCCTGCACTAGACTAAGCACACCCATATATTTTAGTATTTTCATTCTGATTTTGAAACTGTGTTTTGGAACAAATCTGACTGTCCCATGTTGGGATTACCTGTGCAGCTGTACACAGGCCTATGTAACTACTGATGACAGCAAGGGATGGAATTCAACATGAAATAACTATAGTTTGGTTTTGGCACACACACTAATAACATTTTATACACCAATATAACTGATTTCTTCTCAAACTAAGGACAACTAGAGAATCAGTGAAGACACTAGGACTACCAAAGTAGTTGTGATTTTACATACTTACTATAAAAATCAGATTTCAGTCTTTTAGAAAAAAGCTCTTCACTTCCATTGCTGTTCCTGATAGAGATGGCAAGGGTGGGTCCATCTGTCTTAAAAAGACATCCAGAATTATAATCTTGATCCAATAAATAGGTGGGACATGGCTTCCAAACTTTGTGCTTGCCTTCATCAAATCTATAAATGAAATAATATTGGTGAATGGAACACTCTTACCAGTTAACACAAGTTAATTCCTTTTTGTTACTGTTCTTTCCTTTTTATTTCTTTCTTTTTTTTTTTTTCTTTTTCAAATGCTCTTACCAAGGGAATTCTGTGTATGGAATTTCTTGAAGTGGCAAATTTCATAATGGTGTGAGGGAATTAATTACCCAAACCTCATTGACTTTCCAGCCCTGGGTTTTGATGCAGTCTCAAATTACCAAGTTTCCTTCATGTTGTTGTTGTTGTTGTTGTTGTTTTCTAATAAGAGAATGACTTGCTCAAAGAGATGTTTTCATGAACCTGTTTCCAAGATTGTACTGCTAAAAGTTGTTTCACATATAACACCCAGAAAGAAAAGGGAAAATGACAGCTATGACTGCCTTTAACCAAAACATTAAATTTCTCCTAGCCATTAATGACGTCAGTTAATAAGGAAAATGCACACACATATGTGGAAAAAACACAACGACAGAAGAGGGACAAACCTGTCATATAATGTCTATTGTGACTGACTATTCAGCAGGCTTATTAATTTGTACGCTTCTGTAGCAGGTTGTGAATATAAACAGGTTTAATGCTGGATGATTAACAAATGTTAAAAGCATTTTCAGGTACAGTTCACAGAAGACTCAAATGGACTTAGGTATTTCAGCCTCCCAAAGTAAATCCTTTAAGAAGGGAAGAATAGGCATTGTGTGTGTATATATATGTATATATAGTCTTATACTCACGTATAAGAAAATGACACATTCTCACTGGGAAATAGTTTTCTTGCTGCCCATGTGATCTGCATCTTCTCATTGTTGAAATTGATTATTGTGGTGTTGATGGCATCTTTCCAACCTGACCAGGACATTGACAGAGAATATGATTTCAGCAGTGAGTATGAAAAGTATCCCTTGACATTGGTAGGCAATCAGTATTTCAAAGATATGTATGCAATAGACTCAGATGATCATAAAATAAGAAGACACAAGAATATCTAAAATGCAAGGAAACAGAGTAAAATAACTTAGAGAGGTTGAAATTAGTATTTCAAAATAGCAAAATGAAAAAATGAAAGCATGCACAGCAACACCAGAGAGCACCCCATGGTCCCTGGGCCAAAATGTATAGACTGGTTCACGTGTATTCAATGCCTAGGGCCTATACCTTGAAGCCAACTTCCCCACATAATACATGCTAAGGTTTTCCTGCTAAGGAAAACTACTTGGGAACTAATACCACATGGACCTTGTGTGTAAACTGTCAGATGTTTACTGTAAGAAACAAGGAACTAACACCACAGGTCAAGACCAGGTCAAGACCCATAGGAACCCAGAGCAGATCAGCACAGGTAGGTGTACTGCATATTTGATATATGTGGTTCTGGCCAATTCCATCTTACAGACGAGCAAGATCATTTAATGTCCTCTGACTGCATGCAGATATTAGTTCCTTTCCTGACCTTCTCCTTGTTATACCTCTTGCTAGGGACACAGGTATTTTAATTCTGTGTCCATCAGGATTCCACAATCAGACACTGAAGATAAATCTGACACTGAAAAATGAAGAAATTAAGAAGGCAGAAGGATTAGAAATCCATTCTATATCAAGGAGAAGGGCAAATTATTTATTTTGCATTCTATAAGATGTGAAATTATATTTACTTGAATGAACAAAGAGAAAGAAAATGTCTCTTGAATATCAGCAAGAAACCACTTGTGGGTAAAATTTGCAGACTGCTGTCTTCAGACATGAAGTGTTTACCACTAAAAACTTTTGCTGGAATATTCCCATCTAGCAGGAGAATAGAGGATTTTAGCTTTTTTTGCTGTCTACATTTTATGCCACTCTGGACTTTAAAAGGGGTTTAAAGTGGAAAAATTTTAAAACATTTCTTATGAGCTTTTTATTACATACAGTGATCCTGAATGTTCATGGGAATCAGGCCTATCTATCCTCATGGTTGCTATCTTTTGCTCCGTAATCAACACTAAGAATGTGAGAAAGACGTGGGTTCAAGTAACCGTTTTGCCTGTTTTCATGGCTGTATCTCTGCATCTAGGTGTTTCATGACTTCTGTAATTAGAGTTAGTCAAAACATTTTTGTATAGGTGTAATTGTGTTGTAACATATTGTTTTGTCAAAATCATTCAAGAGACAGAAATCCAAGAGACGCTGGGTAGATGTACCTGCAGGTCCCTGCTACATGATTCGTGGAGCTCTGGTAAAAATGATTCTGCTCTTACTCAAGAGAAGGACTTGAAACTAACTCCTCCATCTCCTCATTAATGCCTGCAGGCTTGTTCTGCATTGTTTTCTCAAACTGAAAATCTCATGTGTTTTTCTGAAGAATAGAGAAGTCAGTACTATCACGCACTGAAGCAAAAACAGAACTTCAATACCTGAGAAGCTATCATAAGATGGAATTTATCCAGCCAGTTCTACCTCTGTTACAAGAGACTACTTAGCCCTTGTTTCCTAACTCCTCAAGCCCTTTGTAAGTCCCCTCAGCAGGTTTAAGAGATACTGTCGTCTTTAACTAAAGCCACTAAGAAATATGATGGCAAAGTGCCTAAGAGTGGATTCTTTGTCTGCAATTACATTTTAATTTTTATGGACTAAATTCTAGCGTGATTGTGCTGTGCGTTATCTAGTGTTATGCTTAGTGTAACTGAAATCCATATGACTACTTGGAATTAGATTTTCAATAAATATAGTTAAACATATATTTAATGCACATTTGAGTGTATGATTACGTTCTCCATCTTTAAAGAAAATTAACATTATAAAAAAAAATATAAATGTTAGTGAATGGAGAATACTGTACTGTCCTGAGATCATTTTTGTGAGTATAGAACGAATCCTTTCAATTCCTTTTAGAAGCAACAAAATATGTACTTTCCACTTTTTGATAATTAGTCTGATTGCAGATATTTTTGCTTTGAGAAAGAACTGTTAATGTCTATGCTTCAATTATGAAAATAAAACCAGGAAGAGTACTTGCTTTCTTAATCACGTATTTTCAAGGATAATTAATTTCAAAATTAATTTATGACGTTGTTTCTATGTGCACAATAGTTTGGCACAGTGACAGACGGCAAAATGCTGGTTTTAGGGCATGTTTTTAAATCAATTTTTAAGTCAAGCATGAACGAAATTCTTCAGGTTAATCTCAGAAGGTGGCTTAACATCCCTGCAGAGAGCTGTGCACATACGTCTTCCTGTGCTTGACAAAAAGATTTCAAACAGGCTATGTGCTAAGCAGAGAGGCATGCAGTCTTGCCAGTAGGATATAACAAAGAGTGGGTATCTGAGAGTCCTAACTCAGGCATAGCCAACTAATCCAGGCTGTGCCAGGACCCTTACCAGACGAAGGGTGCCAGCTCAAAACCCTCACTTGGACTTGGGCACCTGGGCAGCCCCACTGAAAAACACAACAGTGGTTTTTCCATTTTTTGGAGGGTGAGCTCAACACCCAGCATTTATCCCATTGCTGTCCAGCTGTGAGGTTGAAGCAGTTGGCCCATGATGCGAAAGATCTGTTTGCATTGATTTCTAGTGTGAAGCAAATGGTGCAGGTTCGGTTTATATATGAGACTGGTCTCAGGTTGCTCAGTACCATGGAGCTGCTAGTATCTGAAGTCTGAAGGGACTTGTAAAGCGAAGAGGTAACTTTACCGGTGAAAAGTAGGTGCGTGCAGATGTCAAATGATCTGTAAAAGTTTTGGGGGATCTTGTAGAATTTGCTATGAAAAATGGCTCTAATCGTTCAGTC